CTGCACCTCCCCTACACCTCCCTCCTCCTCCTCCAGTCCCCCTCTGCCACCTCCCCCGCTCCGCCGCCAGTGCCGTCCTGAGGAACTTCGCGTGGCCGTCGACAATCATGGTTATCATATTAACATGTTTAACTCTTACGGATAACATGTTAACTATTAATAGTTAACATGTTATCTGTAAGAGTTAACATGTTAACAGTAGGAGTTAACATGTTAACGTGATAAACATGATCCGCTGGCATGAGAAAGAGGAGGGTAAAATTAGGATTTAAGCCAGCTGGCATGTCGAATCATGAGCTGACATATCTAATCATCCGCTGACATGAGCTAAAATCATGATGGAGGGGCCTGGACATAATTTTTTAAAAAACAAGGGGCTGCAGCACATTTAAAAAAATGAGGAGTTCGGGCACATTGAAAGTTGGATTTTGGGGCTTAGAAGCAATTTTTCCTTTTTTTTAAAGATACTTGTTTTTAAAGCCTCCAATAGTGCATTTTAACCGGTATTTTTTCTTTTTTCAAACGATCAATGATGAGTTATATATTCTGCACAAATGTGGGAAAAATCAAACTTTTTTTTTGAAAACTAAAAGGGTCTATACATTGAGGATTGTTGATTAGGACTGAGATAATTGTTCAGAACTTCTATACTTTATGGTTCATATTGAAACTAAAAGGTGTCAAATGTTGACACAACCCGCTGATCTGAATCCTGACTAATTTCTATAAGAATTAGTTACTCATTTTGTAAAATAAAAATAAAAAAATAAAATTTACATTAATAATAACAAAAGAACAAAAAGTAAATTTAAACTACAAGTAATGGAAAAAGAAAATAGAAAATCAAAGCAATAAAAAGCAAGAAAATAAATCTACTCTATAAAACATGAAGAAAAATTACACTACAAACATAAAAAAAATCTACCAAATATGGAATAAAATTAATAAAATAAAATATTAAAATATATAATTCGAAAAAAAATAAAGAAATTTACATTTCAGGCGTTGGTCCATTGTAAGCAAATCTTCATACTCATTATGAAAGAGAAGAGTAACAAAAATAAAAAACGGGTACCAGTGAAGCTATAAGACTAATAAGCGGGTCGGGCACGGGCCAACCTGTATGACCTGTTTATTTGTTAAAATAAATTCAGCGAGGAAAATTTTTAATTTTGAACTATTTGCAAACTTAACTGTAAAAAACGACACATTTTATACTTATTTTTCAAATTCGACCCAGTTTCAACCACCTAGCTGAAATTGGATCGAATTTGAAAAAAAAACTTACAAATTTCACGGGACTTCAAGTCCCGTGAAGTTTTATTATGTAACAAAACTTCATGGGACTTGAAGTCCCGTGAAATTTATAAGTTTTTTTTTTCAAATTCGACCCAGTTTCAGCTTGGTGGTTGAAACTAGGTCGAATTTAAAAAATAAGTACAAAAGAGGTCAATTTGTGCAATAAATGTTCTAAATAGGTCGAAATTGAAAATTGTCCAATTCAGCGTCTATGTTTCTCCTTTCTTTGGACAAATTTTGAAAACCATATGATTTACAAAAAAAGTCGCAAACAACGAACTCTTCTAAAAATAATTGTCAAAACAAACTTAGTTTTAACCGTCGGGCTGAAAACTAGGTTAGTTTTGATGAAAAAAAATTATAAAACTTCATGAGATTTTAAGTTCCGTAAGAAAATAGACGGTAGTAAACTTCACAGGACTTCAAACAACATATAATAACGTTAATTTATTAACATTAAGCCGACGGTCAAAACCGACCGGTTTCAGCCGAACCAAGGCGGTTTTGACAATTATTTTTAGAAGACGCCGGTTTTTGCGTTTTTTTTTTAAATCCGATGGTTTTCAAAATTTCTCCCTTCTCTTCACTCACACCTCCATAATTTCTGCTCAACTCGGCGGTGACGAACGCCGGTTGACGGCGAGCGGTGGTGCCGAGCGGCGGCGAAGTGTGAGGGCTTTAAAGTTGCCGATCGATCAACAATCCCCATTAAAGGAATTCAAACTAAAGAAGAGAAAGATCGTTTCTTGGAAAAAGTTCTGTCCTTTTTGCAAATTGGTACTTGTTTTTATTACGGTGCTTTGAGATAGCGGGTTGATTTGGATTATAGGGAGATAATGGGTCCGAATAGTATTACAAATGGCGTTAACTCTCTCTTTGATTACTAAAGATTTGATCTTGTGCAGTCTTCTTAGATCTGCTGTGGCCTGTTGCTGATCAGTAGAGGGATTTGATTGCAATGGATCGTGGCGAATTGACCACTGAGCAGGTTTTGGGATCTAATTGTTTCGCTTTGTTTGATTGATTCAAGTCCATTGGATGCGTTTTGTTTTGATGAGTTACTTTGAACTAAATTTCTAGGTTTTGAAGAGGGATATGTTGGATTTAATCTAATAAATCTATTTGTGGGCACATATGATTAATCAATGTGTATTGCTATCTTTCAGGATAACCCACTAAAGTGATCAATTAAGTTGGGTTAATTTGGTATTTAAATAAGTCATGGGGTTATATGTGCAGATACCAGGTTGTAATTGTGATTTATTGAGGGGCTAAATTACAAAAGTACAACATCTATAAATAAGGGGTTATGGTCCCTAATCTAGGGTTACTACATTCTCTAATTCTCTTCACCCCATCTAAGAGAGAAATTCGGTTTAGAGAAAACCCTAAGGTTAGAAGATCCAAAACCCAAAATCAAGATCAAGCAATGGATTCAGGTATAAGCTTCCGCTCTTTTGATTATTGTTAATCTCTTTGAATTAATCATGGCTATATGGTTTTAGATCTCAAGTTTTATGATGTAGATCTAACAAGTGGTATCAGAGCCACCTTGATTAATTCTTAGGGATTTAAGTTTTATTGGGTTTTTTTTATCTTAAATCTCCGGTTAAAGATTCAATTTTTTTTGTTCTCGGATGAACAGTAATGTTCGGTGAACAGTAGCGAAAAATTTTTCGGATGAACAGTAAAGTATTTTTGGATGAACAGTAACTGAAAAAATCGCCGGTGAACAGTAACTTTTTGGAATTTTCTTTGATTTTTTCTTCAAAATTTTCCAATTCTGGATCTGTTTTGAAAATAAAAATCAAAGATTTTTGGGTTTGACGGCGGTTTCAGTTTGAAACCCTAAGGGTTCATGGCGAAAATTGAGGAGGTGGTTACCTCAAACGAATGATATAGTCAATGGACGAGATTGTTCGGAAATACCTTTTCAGTGATAGCAATTTTTGAGCTCATAAGGTTATACACAATTTAAGGAATCATATGGTGCCCAAGTGGGAGATTGTTGGATTTAATCTAATAAATCTATTTGTGGGCACATATGATTAATCAATGTGTATTGCTATCTTTCAGGATAACCCACTAAAGTGATCAATTAAGTTGGGTTAATTTGGTATTTAAATAAGTCATGGGGTTATATGTGCAGATACCAGGTTGTAATTGTGATTTATTGAGGGGCTAAATTACAAAAGTACAACATCTATAAATAAGGGGTTATGGTCCCTAACCTAGGGTTACATTCTCTAATTCTCTACACCCCCATCTAGCTAGAGAAATTCGGTTCTAGAGAAACTCTAAGGTTAGAAGATCCAAAACCCAAAATCAAGATCAAGCAATGAATTCAGGTATAAGCTTCCGCTCTTTTGATTATTGTTAATCTCTTTGAATTAATCATGGCTATATGGTTTTAGATCTCAAGTTTTATGATGTAGATCTAACAGGATATACCATGGGAGAGTTATATGACGACTGAGCTCATCACAGGGACATGCTTGCAGCTGCTGAGGCGATACGATCACAAACCTGAGAGCCAGCAAGCTGCACTGCTTGATGATGTGAGAACTATCCTGCAAGTTGCCCTAAACATGCTTTATTTTTTTCCGAATTCGGTAGTAAGTTATTTGGAGTTTAATTGTTTCCATTTGTTGGCCAGTTTAGTCTTCACAATGTTGACAGTATTGATCAAAATCTAAATTTGGATATGGAAACATCATTTAGGTGTGATTTGAAATTCTGATATGCACAAAAACTATATAGAAATAACAATTTGAAGGATTTTCAACATGTTTTACCTATGTGATATGTTGACAAAATCGATGTTTCATTATTTTCGTAAAATTGCTTAATTTTTTGACCCTCGATACATGATTAAACACCCATCAAAAGCATCAAAAATTTTATTTCTAGGTAGTTCCTGTGTATGACATCACATCCGATGATACTGATTTTCAACTTGGAAACTCCAATTCTAGATCTGGATGATAGTTTCCACACATTGAAAACTATCAATTGTAGCTTAGCTCCTCTTGTAGTATCCAAATCTTATCTTTTATAGTTTCCACACATTGAAAACTATCAATTGTAGCTTAGCTCCTCTTGTAGTATCCAAATCTTATCTTTTAGTGATCTCTCTAATTAATTTCTAATCTTATTTTGGACTTTCAAGCCATTATGAGTAGTTGTAGAGTTTTTTTTTAATGTGACATTTTCATCATATGCGAGTAGTGATAGAGTTGATTAAAAACAACTTACATAGTTCCTGACTTCCTGCATCATTGTATTAATTTCATGGGTGCTATACTTTTGCAGGAGAGGCCTGTGTATGTTAGGGTTTTTGTGAATATTTTGCACGACATTTCCAAAGAGGAAACATTAGAGTATGTCCTAGCCCTCATTGATGAAATGCTCACAGGTATAATTCTTTTGACAAAACTGTGTTCAAACGCTAGTATCGACATGTTTGACACACTTCTTTTTTTCTCCGCAGAAAATCCTAAACGTGCTAGGCTGTTTCATGACAGTTCTCTATCAAGTACAGACACTTATGAACCTTTCTTAAAGTAAGATCTTGGTACAAGTGCATGGGTTGGTATTATTTTTCATCTATTTCTTTTGGATATACTCTGTTAAGATGCATACTGCTAGTCTATATAGAATCATATCATGGACATTCTTACCATATCCATTTTGGAGAAAGTGAGAAAAATCGAAGTGAACTTGTTGGATTCTCCTTGACGCATGATGGATATTTCTTATTGTATAAGTCCTTAATTTATAACATTTTTAGGTTTTGGTTGACATTGTGCAGACACATGACTCTTGTCAAACATATTTATATGCATCCCATGCATTTGGATGTATATGGTCCTCCTATTTTCTTCTTAATGCTATGAAGTTTTTGAATCTTTTGGATCTGTATCTTTAAGAATGTAAATGTGAAGTAAAAGTTTTGTTGCACAAGGTGACATACAGTAAGTTTTTTCTTTTTTCTTTCGCGTGAAGATGGAGAAAAGAATCCAAGGGCTATTGCATTGATGATGTCATTTAAATATGTCTAGATAAGGTTATTGTAATATTACAACATATTAGTTGTGTGTAAGCCACCCTTTCAAAAACCAGTGCCTGATATCAGCATTAAAAAGTTTATAGCTATTTCCATGAAATATTTTAGTTTTTAACATTATTGTGTTGGTATATATATCCCCATTATAACAGAATATCTCGTTCCTCTGTTCATTCCATTTCGACATATAGTGTTTTTTATATATACTACTATATAATGGAAATAGTTGGTTAGGCCAAAAATGGATGAGAGGTGGACATTTCCTCCATTCTTACTGTATTTGAAAAGGGTAGAATTGTAATTTTATAGGAGAACTTTTTTCCTTTTTTTTCTCTTTCTTTTTTCTAGAACTTTCTAAAATGTTGACATGAGCTTATTATTAAGGCTCATTAATAACATACCCATTACATTGCATATTATAAGAGATAAAAATATGAAATGATAAAGTTCTTTTCAAAAAAAATGCACATAAATAAATACAATAAAAACAGCTATTATAATTTCATTATGTTCCAATGTAAATATTATTGAAAGTGTATATCTAGATACTTGGGCTAAAAATAATTAAAATAATAACTTGAATGAAATATGAAAAATAGACTCTTCTAAAGAACATTATCTAAGAAAATTATGTCATCGCTCAAATTGAAATATTTATTATAGCCAATTCCAAATAAGATATATAAAATATAGCTTGTTAAATGAACAAACACTATAACAGGCTCTTGGAAAAATTGATGATCCCTTAGGGAAGTGACCCATTTTATATAAAAATTAGAAATTTTAAGTTTTAATCTGTTACACATGCATTTGCACATGCAATAGTGCTAGTTATGCCATACTTGTAATTCACGTGCTCATTCTTGTTTTATCTGCTCTCAGATATGTGTTCGTCATGCTACCTGGTTGCTGGTACATAATCTGCCTGAGGGTATCAATATCTTAAGAATTTGGAGTTCCTTCTAGTTTATCTGTTGGTGACACCATCTAATTGTACCTGTATGACGTCTCATCAGATTTACATAGTGATCTTAAGTTCTTAACTGCTTTCTGCCCAAACTGTTGATTTTTCCCCTTTCTGCACTGGAATATCCACCATTTATTTATTGTGGTTCATTTTTAGTTACTCAAGTTTCTGATCATATAAAACCTTAGTGTTGTCTTGGCCTTTCTATAAGACAGATGGCCTCGTTCATAACTTCGGAAGATTAATCTGCCTTCTGCTTTTGCGAGTTTCATATGATATGCCATCTAGAATCCTGTTGATGCTGGTTGGTTCATTTTTTGGTTTTCACATTTATTTTGTACGCTGATTTACATTTACAAATCTTCAGATTGCTTTGGAAGGGAAATTGGTTAATACAAGAAAAGAGTTGTAAATTACTGTCCCTCATTGTAAGGTAATTGAAACCATCAATTTCGACGTTCATTGAGACAATACGTAGTTTTAACTGAAGAATTTTATGCTTACAGTGTTCAACCTAAACTTCACGAGGGTATTGTTTCAAATGGAGAAGCTACACATTCGAAGAGCACATTTACGTCTTCTGATGATGTGTTGAATAGCTTGGTTGAATGGTTATGTTCACAGGTTAGGATTTCTCCAAGAAGCAACATTTATATGCTTAATGACATGTTTTGTCATTTTAATCAAACATACCGGGAGTAAGATGAATTACGCGTACTCACGAGTCACGACATTTTCATACAATGCTTTGTCCATTTGCTGTTGAATTATTCTTCTGAGTGTTTTGATAATTTTCACTGTGTACTCTTTCTTGATCGTGGTGTTCTTCATCATTAGCAACGTTCACCAAGTTAATATTAGTTGATAAACAACTAATGGATGGTGAAACTCACTTGGAAATGTCTCCAGTGTTGACTTGGACCTAATGCTCACATTGGGTCCTTAGAGTACTCTAGATCTGCTTCCTAATCCAATTTGAAGTAGACAGGTTCAAATTTATGTGAATTGTTTCTTCTAATTAATGCATAATTCATAAACATCAAAAAATCAGGATGAACAACATGCACTCACATGTCTAGACCATCCGGAACCCTGTTTATTTTCAGTTATCTGCTTAAGCACTTATTTTGTCCTTGGATTGAGTACTCTTTAGGTAAGTTTTTATATATGCAGTTGAGGAATCCATCTCATCCTAGTCGTTCTGTCCCAATGGCTGTCAATTGTCTGTCTACTTTGCTGAGGGAATCTAGTGTTAGAACTTCGTTCGTGCAAGGAGATGGCGTGAAATTGCTCATTCCTTTGATTTCTCCAGCATCCACCCAACAGTCTATCCAGGTAATGTAATTTTTTATTCTTAGCACATTTCATATTAAATAATGCATCTTTGTAATGATGACTGAAGTTTATGGCTGATAAGCTTTTGGGGATCAAAAAATGAACTTTGTTACATAAGAAAGCACATGATAGAGATCTAGAAACATGTCCAAAGGCTTCCAATATTTGCATTGAGATATTTGCAACCACTCAAAGTAGGTATCTTCCATTTCACACGTTCAAAGCCTGTGATAGGCTTTAGTTGATTTAGTAGTTTTTCTTGGCTGCTTCATGTTCATGCATGATTATTTTGATTTTTCATGTATTTTGCACAACTCAGGCATAGAACTATTACCGCTTTAGGCGAAGCCATATTTCAATAAATAATTTGTATAAATACCTGAAATTAACATTACCGTGCTGTTTTGCAGCTTCTTTATGAAACATGCCTCTGTGTTTGGCTCTTGTCCTATTATGATGCAGCAGTAGACTACCTCTCGACTACTAGAGTCCTGTCAAGACTTGTGGATGTTGTCAAAGGTTCCACTAAAGAAAAGGTGGAGTTTGTTAACTGTTTTCTGTTAAGGCTTTTTAGTTTCCCTACTTTCACTATATTATTTTTTGAGTGAAGATTTGAAACCTGTTGATCTACTGTAGGTTGTGAGGGTGGTCATTTTGACCTTTACAAATCTGCTTTAAAAGGGGCCTTTGGGGCGCAAATGGTTGATCTTGGATTACCACAAGTTGTCCAGAGTCTAAAAACACAGGCCTGGAGTGATGAGGTGAGTTTGTCCTGTTTAATGGAAATACACAACTTTTAGCTGGTAAGAACTTTGGATTCTACTGGGGTCTTTGTGGTCTTTCCTTTACATTTGTTGACATTATAACTGCAGAGTAAGCTTCTAATTTGTTTTAAGAGTAAGCTTCTAATTTGTTTTAACTAGTGTATAATGTTCGTAGTTTGTAGTATATAGTTTTTGATACAATAGGAGAAAATGTAAAATCCTATTAGGCTACCAATTTTAGAGATAATCCACTTCATGATTATCTTTCTTCTATATTGAGCTACAGTTATAGTGCTAAATCTACACTAGACTGTTTTAGAGATGTTACCTATTTCTATCGGCAACTAGCTAGTATATTAGCCTCATAAAATATTTAGCTTATTTACATAGAAAATTTTCTTCTCTATAACTTCAGATGACCATTTTCTCTGTATCTTTTTCCCTTTTCTTCTTAGTTCTTCTTAAAGTTGGTTCACTTCAGAAGCATTTAACATTCTAGATTTCTCATTTGGTATGTAGGATTTGTTGGAAGCACTGAACCAACTTGAAGAGGGGCTCAAAGATAACATTAAAAGATTAAGTTCTTTTGATAAATATAAGCAAGAGGTCCTTTTGGGTCATCTAGACTGGTCTCCTATGCACAACGATTCAGGATTCTGGCGTGAGAACATTACAAATTTCTAAGAAAATGATTTCCAGGTGTGGTTTTTAAATTCTATTTGTTTTCGGTCTTCTCACGAAACTTAATATTTTGTCAGAGAAGTATGCTTTTTCTGTGTAGCTCATGTTCTCTCTCTGTCTTGTATGTTGCCTAGTATAGGAAAATGATATAGGGGTCCATCAATTGACAGGCATAACACCTCGATCAATTAGTTGTCTGGGTTTTTCAGCTTCGTTCTGTCCTCTTCCATGGGTGACGCTATTTTGATGTGTAAAACTAGGGTGTTTATGTTGAATTGCTGATAATGGTTCTGTGGGACCTGTTCCCTATTTATAAATTTCATGGATGTTTTAGAAATTTCGAGACACATTTTTCAGCTTTGAGAGTGTTTTGAATATTTTCTTTTGCTTGTAATAGTGTCTAATTATGCTTGCTTGATGAAACAAACTGCATAAGCTATCGGCATTTTCTCTGCAGCGTAATTCCTGTGACCTGGTAATTGAGGAATTGCCATTAATCAAGACAAATGTTTTGCTTGATGAAACAAACTACTATGCATACCACAGAAGGATTCTTCATCCTACCAAGGTTTGCTTTGGACTAAAAAACAAAATCCAAGCCTTGATTAACTCCGGCGTCATAACGGCGAAACAAACCAAATAAAGACGACATTAACTCCAAAGAGTATACGAGTATAAATTACTTCTCCATGCACTCCAAAGGGTATACGAGTATAAACTGTTTCCCGAACCTCCAACCGATATAAGAGGTTAAAAAAAACTGCTTCTCCATGCACTCCAAAGGGTATACGAGTATAAACTGTTTCCCGAACCTCCGACTGATATAAGAGGTTAAAAATTACTTCCTTAAATTACGCGCTCCAATAATGTAACCAAATATGATTAGACTTAGGTTCACCTAAAAGCTGGGGGTGGATACGAGGTTATCATGGCTGAATACGAAGGCAAGAACCAAGACCTGATTCTGTATCAAGAACAATAATATTACTCACAAACGAGAAGTTTCTGAAAAAGTACTATCCCTAGTACATTCAGGGTAATCTATTTAACGGGAAGTTCTTGGAGAATGCTATATATGGTATTCTTAAGGATAACCCGAAACTAATTGATTATTCAAGGTAAAAATCAATCATCTGAATAATCCACTCTTAATCATGATAAAAATGATTAAGAACCTCCCGATGTGGCTATTTAATCATGTCCAAAATGATTAAAACCCCTCATATTGTGATTTTTTGAGCACTCTTTCATTGAGATGAGACTCCATGACTTCATCAAGTCAATCTTCCTTCACGAACCTCTGAAATCCTTCAAGGATGAAGCATGTCCCATTTGCTTTTCCTTCATCCGATTCTTGGTTGGTTTCAATAGTCGGGATCAATTTCGTCAACTCCCACTGTGACTTTCCAAGTACTTTTTCGTTGAGATGAGATTCAATGACCTCATCGGGTCAGTCTTTCCTCACGAAACTCCTACGGTCTAGTTGTGGAGTGCTTGATGATTCACAGCCCTTCACCATAAAATCCATCACCGATCAAATCAACTGATAGTGAGCCCATCAAAAATGCTTCGTGGTTAAATCCACTCAAACTCACGCTGTGTCCGAGCCTTTAACACTCCCACTGTTGAGCTTTGACACAACACCTAAAATTTCAATCCATGACATTTGGCAAACCCCTTTTTGTTTTAAAGTCTTATCACTGGTTACCAAAAACCTCTTCTGAGTGATTTGTGCAAATCTACATTCCTACTGTTATTTGTACCTCCACTCCCCCCATTTGGTCAAACCTTTAAACAGTTAGGACCAAAACCAAAATCCCCTCTTGATTTCTTCCATGAACGAGAGGTGCACAAATTGAGCGATCAAACCTTTAAACAGTTAGGATCGTCTCAAACCCCTATTTGGTCAAATCTTTAAACAGTTAAGACCAAAACCGAAATCCCCTCTCGATTCCTTTCATGAATGAGAGGTCCACAAATTGAACGATCAAAACCTTTAAATAGTTAGGGTCATTTCAAAACTCCTATTTGGTCAAACTTTTAAACAGTTAGGACCAAAACCAAAATCCTCTCTCGATTCCTTCCATGAACGAGAGGTCCACAAATTGAACGATCAAACCTTTTAACAGTTAGGATCGTCTCAAATCCCCATTTGGTCAAATCTTTAAACAGTTAGGACCAAAGCCAAAATCCCCTCTCGATTCCTTCCATGAACGAGAGGTCCACAAATTTTGAACGATTAAACCTTTAAACAGTTAGGATCGTATCAAACTCCCATCTGGTCAAACCTTTAAACAGTTAGGATCAAAATTGGAATCCCTTTTCGATAAATGAAAGGTTTCCACACATTCCCATTCGGTCAAACCTTTAAACAGTTAGGACCAAAGTTAAAATTCCATCTCGATAAACGAGAAATCCTCTTTTAGATTGGATAATCAAACCTTTAAACGGTTAGGGTTATCTAAATCTTCTCGATTCTTGGGATGAAAATCACACTCTTAGTTTCACCCTTCAGAATCTTGAAGTAGAGATCCTACTTTGAGTTTCTTTTAGACCAGGAGATAGAATATAAAATTCTTCCTCTTCGATTTTGGATTTATCTCTACCAACAAAAAAGAGACCAAAAGATAGAATATAAAATTCTTCCTCTCCATCATCGGGTTCATCTCTACCAACAAATAAGAGACTAGGAGATAGAATATAAAATTCTTCCTCTCCGATTTTGGGTTTATCTCTACCAACAAAAAAAGATCAGGAGATAGAATATAAAAATTTCTCTCTCCGATTTTGGGTTTATCTCTACTAACAAATAAGAGACTAGGAGATAAAATATAAAATTATTCCTCTTAATCATTGGGTTCATCTCTACCAACAAAAAAGAGACCAAGATACTCCAATAGGTACACGAGTCTAAACTGTTTCCAAAAAGAGACCAAGATACTCCAATAGGTACACGAGTCTAAACTGTTTCCCTACCCTCAACAGGAAGTTTCTGGAGAATATCACGAGTCTAAACTGTTTCCCTACCCTCAACAGGAAGTTTCTGGAGAATATTACTCAGAATATTCTTAGGGATAACCTGATTACCTCCCAACGGTTATACGAAGTTAAACTATTTTTCGAAAACTCCGATGAGTATATGAGTATAAACTGCATCTCCTTGAACCTCCCAACGGGTATACGAGGTTAAACTATTTCCCGAACACTCCGATAAGGTGTATGAGTATAAACTATTCCTCCATCCTTCAACACCAACTCTGATTCAAGACTTCAATAACGGTCAAGCGATAAACGCAGCACCGGAAGAATTTTAGCTATTATACAAAGCACTGAGTAGACTAAAAGATGAAGAAGTCAAGAATTGAAGCTGTTCATAGATTCTTCTCAACTAAGTACTGAAGAGATTGTAAGTAAAACTTATCTTATCTAAAGTATCCCAGACTCCTCTCTAAAAGATCGAGTCTGAGATACTTTGGAGGGGGTATCTGTAGGTGTCAAAAAATGCTTACGGACTTCTAGATACTGCTCAAGACAAAGAGAAGATGGTAAACGCCATTATCTTATTCAGAGGGAATCGTCCAAAAGAAGCGAAACAACATAAAAGAACATTGTACACACCAACGATAAAATACACTGACAGACGACATGTTTAGGCGCGGCAGCCTATGGTGACGCGCCATAGGCGCGGCAGCCTATGGTGACGCGCAAATAATACAGTAGCCTTTTATGTGAATTGTTGACAATTTTTAACATCTCTTGGAGGTCCACGTGGCAGCATATCAGAAAGAGAATGTGTGCTGACGTGGATAAGTAGTTAAACCACGAAAAAAGTGGTTAAAAGTCGTGGGAGGACGGTTTCGAACATGATGGAACGTGACTGGAACTGCCTCTTTGGCCGCGCCAGTCCATACTGATGCGTCAGTAGCCGCGGCAGCATAGGCTGACGCGCCCAAAGAGCATATATTCGATCAGTTATTTTGCCTCCATTTCGACTGTTGTGCACTCCTATCCCTATAAATACCTCCCTAGACACAAAACAAAGGACGGGAGGGTAGATTGGAGAAGAGAGACTTGAGCTTTTGGTGATTTGGAGCAAGAGAGAGAGTCTCCATTCTTCATAAACACTTTCAAGAAGCTTTTGACGATTCCCAAAGATCTAAGCTCCGACTTGATCTTTGGAAGAGTGAACATCTTACATCGATAAGATATTCGCTTAAAGATTCTTACTTCAATAAACGAAGAAGAATATCTAAAAGCCTTCACGATTCAATCAAAATCTGTGAATCGGTGGTTCACGAGCTAACGCACCCTCGGCACAGGCAAAGATCCCACGCAAGTAGCGATCCAAACAACGATTCTGCGTTTGTTTCTTAGGAACTTGTAATTTAATTTTTATTTTAAAGTGTAGTTTTACAAAGTACGAAGCTCACTCTTTTGTATTTATTGTAATCGATAAACAGTTATAAACTTATAATGAATTCTACAACAGAACTTGTTCCTGACGCAAACAACGGCCTCCCAATGACCCTTCCCGGGGTCGTGCATGTATCTGGATACCATGCTCACGGCCTGTGACAAATCTGGCCTTATACATACTATCGCATACATCAAGCTACCCACAGCATTGGCATATGGAACTTTGAACATGTATTCCCGGTCCTTAACTGAAACAGGTGACATCTTAGCTGATAGCTTAAAGTTGGGAGCCAATGGAGTACTCACCGCATTGACATTGCCATCATAACTGAATTTTTTCAGCATCTTCTACAAGTAACTCCTCTGTGTCAACTTAAACCTCCCCTTCACCCTGTCTCTCTCGATCTCCATACCCAATATCTTCTTTGCTTCTCCAAGGTCCTTCATCTCAAATTCGGATGATAACTCTTTTTTTAACTTTATAATAGCTGAAGTATTCTTGGAAGCTATGAGCATATCGTCAGCATATAACAGCAAATAGATATACTCACCATTCTGTAGCTTGTGCATGTAAACACACGGGTCATATGGGCTCCTCGTGT